CCAATGATAGCTCGGATTTTATTTTACTATTGGATTGAATCTCGTATTTGTTTGTACTGTAAATAATAATAATAATAATTAGATAAAAAAAAATTAATAATAAATATTATTATTATATATTTTTTCATAATTTTTTTATTGAATACAAAAAAAATTTCAAAAAATTAAAAATTRAATAAATATATATATATAAATTGACAATTCAATTATTAATACTAAATATAATAGTATTATTGTGTAATCATTTTATGTTTCAAATTACAAACAAGTATTGTCTATAATAATAATAATAATAATAATAAAACATATATTTTTATTTATATTTCTATACAATTACTATATATAGTTATATAACTATTAATTAAAAACATTTATATATATATATTAAACAATGTTAATGTAAATATTTTTTTATATATCATTGTATTTACAGTAATATTTACTATAATATTACATAATTTTAATTATAATAATAATAATTTTAATATTAAAAATGTGTAAATAAAACTTAAGTGATATGAAAAAAAAAAAATAAATAAATATTTATTATGAAAAATGTTTGAAAATTAAGGGGAATTTATTTTTGTCTATTATATTAAATATCTATTTTTTATATATATATAATAAAAACAATTTAAGCAATTATATTTAAGTGGTTACATTTATCAATATCAATTAAAAATTAAAAGTTTTTTTTCAAAAAAAAAACAATTATATTAATCATAATTTGTTTTTTCAAATAAAAAATTATTGTGAAATATCATCATTTAAGATAACTTTAAGATTATATATATATATATTAATAGTAATAATAATTAATAATAATATACAGTATAATAATATAATAATAATAAAATAAAATTTATCATTTTATAAAAACTTCAATTTTACATCAATTAATATAACTTAAATACTTGATTAATAATATATATATATATATTAAATATTATATATKATATATGATATATGATATATAACTTGTTTGCTAGTTTTTACTGATAAGTGATAAAAAACTCATAAAATTTATTTTTAAATATTTTAAATATATATATATATATATATATATATATAATATACAGTATATAATATATACTATATATTATAATTATTATTTTTTTTGAAAAAAAAGTTTTTTAACTTTTTAAGTTAGTTGGCATCTAACAAATAAATTATATWTATATATATATATATTAAATATATGTATATTTTTTGGGTGCAAAAAATCGCTTAAAAATAGTTTTATGTGTACATTAWTATTATTATTATTATTATATCATAAATAATACTTACTTATATATATAGATATTACTAACACATATATACTCTACAGTATAATACCCTAACTATTAGTTTGTAATTTAAAACAACAACAAAAATATCATTTAAAATGTCATTTATCATGAATTGTTTGGTAATCAAAATATATATATATATATATATATATATATATATATATAATGGGTTTATGAATCCCATGGKATATATACTATATATATATATATATATATATATATATATATATATATATATATATGATATTTAACTTATAAATAGTAATATCTATTGTCCTGTGACTAAAACAACATAAAATATATACTTAACTAACTATTTTTTGTTGTTGGTTAATACCGGTGCCCATACATAGACATAGACATACAGTACACACACAGGTATGTATACAAACACATATAGAGACACAAAAATTATTAGCCAACCGACCTTCAACTTTTTTTTGTTAGTTATTATTATTATTATTATTTTTGTTATAAATACCTGCAAACATATATACAGTATATATATATATATATTATATATAATATATACAGTACACCGCCTTTTATTTTTTTTAAAAAAATATAAAATAATAAATGAGAGACACTTTTACACAAACTAAACAAACTTATAATAAATATATATATAAAAGTTATATAAATAAAACAGATATACTGTATATATATATATATATATATATATATATATATATATATATATATATATATATATATAAATTATAATTACAATTATTTATTTTTTTGTTAGTGTTTTAGTTAGTTAGTTAATGCCAAAAGTTTTTATTAGCTATTTAAGGCATAATTGAAATTTGAATTTTTTGTTTAAATAATAGTAAAAACTAACAATTATTATTATTATTATATATATATATAACTAATATGTGTTTACATTTTACATTATTTTGTTATATTATTTTGTTGTTGAAGTGCTATTGAAAATTTTTGTTTAAAAATTTTAATTGAAATTGATTTTGATTTGTGTGTCTAGTTTTATATACAGTATATATATATATGTTTATATATATATATATATATTAATAGTAACAATAGAGAGGGGAATGGGATGGGATGGGCTCATCCTTTTATATTTTTTATTAACTTATAATAATATTGATTATATAATAATAATAATAATAACTATTTTTTTTAATGTTCAAACACTTATAGAAATTTATAAAAAAAATTTGATAATCCAATAATAATTATTTAATAATAATAATATAGTATTAAGTAATTTATTTAAATAAAAAATAACTGTTTAAAAAATATTTATCTAATTTATATATAAATACTGTATTACTATTTATAAGTATTAGTGTAAATAATTGCAACAACAAAAAAATAATAATAGTTTCACAATAGTTTTTAAAATACAATATATTCAAACAAAAATTATTATGAAATATTATCATTTAAAATAAATTTATTTAATATATTAATAGTAATACTAATAATAATTAATAATATAAAGTATAATATAAATAAATTTTAATATATAACTGTTTAATATAAAAATAATTTATGATATAATTAATTAATAATAATAATGAAAAATAATTTTTTTTAAATATATAAATATCTTACATGAAGACACCCCTAGCCATCGGTTCCCTGATTTCGGTCAAATAGTACCGATTCTGGCCATCGGTGGTCACATTTTGACGGATACAATCGGACTCTGATCCGTCCTTATAAACTACAAACCAATTGCCCAAAAACTGTTGTTTAAAAATAATTTAATTAAATAATAAAAAAAGAGATATTTTTAGATTGTTTTTTAATGAAAACAATATTATAAATAAAAATAACAATAAAATTATTTTTTTTTCAATAAAATAATCATTAAAAACATTCATAACAAAAATTTATATATATATATATATGAGTTGAATAACTTTATAGTTTATTATTATTATTTAATTTTTTTTATTTAAATTATAACCACACATACAAAATAAATTTATGTCTAATTATAGACTATATTGTATTTATTTTTAAATATATAAGTTATAGATAAGTTATATAACCTTTTATTTTTAAACTACTGTATATATATATTTATATATATATATATATGTATATATAATATATTAATACCTACTCATTATATTTGCATACAAACTACCACTAAAAAAAATTATATACAAATTTATATACAATTTATTATATATTCAATGTCTTCATAATAATAATAATAATAACCTTTTTGTTTGTGAAACAGAAAATTTTGTTATAAATATTAATAATTGTTTTAATGAATAATAATAATTAAAAATAATAAAAATAATGAAATATTAATGTATTCAACGAAAGTGTCAAAACTATATATAAATATATATTTAATTAACAAAAAATTATATAAAAAGTTTTGTAATTTTTCTGTATAATTAAAATTATTATTTAATTAAAATTATTATTATTAATATTTTTTGTTAATTAAATATGTATTTTAATTAAAATTAATGAAAAATATTTGACACAATATTTCTCTATTAAGTAATGTCTTTTAAAAAAATTGTTTATTATTTTATTTTTTGATTATTTTTAAAATAACATAAAATAATATTTGAATTTACATAATATTTTTTATTTTAAATTTTAATTTACTTTTTAAAAATATGAATTTATTCATAAAATAAAGTATATATTTGCTATATAAAAACTAAAATATTTATTTATTTATTTTTAAAAAATATCATTTTTAATATTTACAAATGTTAATAAAAATTATGTTTTTAATGTATTTAAAATAAAATTAAAAAAAATTATTGAATGAACTGAATATTAGGATAACATCTAAACGTTAAAAAAAATTTTGATCTCAATTTTGTATATAATATTATATAAGCATTAAATGGATATTAAAAAAATATGTTAGAAATTTTTGCTAAAATTTTTATTGWSTGTGTGTTTGTATGTGTAACTAATATTTTAAATAAATTATTTGTAAATTAAAAAAACAACAACAATTAATATTGCATTTTAATATAAAGTGATTAACACTTATATTAACTTTTATTTATTTATTTATTTATTATTTAACTTTAATAATAATAATAATAATAATAATTTTTAAACACTTAAACTCTACTACAATCAATACTACAATTGAATTACATATTTACAGTAAATTATTATTATTATTATTATTATGTATGACCTAGGTTATTAGCTTATTAACATTTTTAGGAAAATAAATAAATTAAAAAATTAAATGTCATTATTATTATTATTATAAAAAAAATTAAAATCAATATTAATAATAATAATAATAATAAGTATGCAAATAGAAAAAAACAATATAAAAAAATTAAATTAGAAATTATTAATAATTATTATATGTATTGTTAGTATTTTTGCTGTTAATAATAATTAATATTTACTAATTTCTAAATAATTTTAATTAAATAATAATAATAATAAAATAATTTCAAACAAAAACCTTATTGATATCGAAATTGGCTTTCGGTTTAATACGCGGACACTGACCGGCCCTAAGCTGATGGCCGGCGGCGGTCGACATGTGGCACAACACCGACACCAACAATACAATTGATAATAAAATATTTGATAACATTTTTATTAAAATAATATGTTTTTTTTTAATAATTTAAAGGCACACAAAAAAATTATTAATTATAAATATAATTATAAAATAATAAACAATAAGCAGAATATTCAGAATATTATTAATAATTATATTATTATTATTAATACTAATAATAACTTTTGATGATTTTGATTATTAATTATTTTATTTTATAGATATATTTTTATAAAAAATATTGAGAAATAAAAAAATTATTATTATTTTTTCGCACAAAGTTTTTTGAATCAAATAAAAAAAATCTCTCAAATGTTTGAGTTGTATGGTGTGTATGGTGTGTGAGTGAGTGTGTGTGTGTGTGTGTGTGTAAKCAACAGGTAAACTACAGGTAATAATAATAATAATAATAATAAATGTAGTAATAGTTTGAGTACAGTAGTAGTAGTAGTAGTAGTAGTGATGGTTATGTTAGTATATAATATAATATCATTATACCTGTATATACGGTATATATATATTTGACACAACCCTTTGCAACAACAAGTGGTGGCAATATATGATTTCAAGGGAAACCAGTTTATCGCATACATACACACACAAACATACACATACATACATATATACACACACATACATATACACACACACATACATGCATATAAAAGCACACACATACATACATACACACATACATACACACATATATACACACATAAATACACACATACATACATACACACATACACACATACATACACACATACATACACACATACATACACACATACATACACACACATACACATACATATATATATACACACACACATACATACATACACGTGTGATCATAATATTTAACACACACACACACACATATGAGCCCCAAACTACATAAGCCCAATGTACTGTATTATATACTACTGGATGTAGTGATGAGGAGGAGGGGTGGGGTGGGGAACGGTATTATTGGTATTATTATTATTTATCTCATACCGTGTGTGTGTGTGTCTATGTCGTGACATAGTTGTTAACGATGTTATGGTTTGACGGGCACCGGTAGGAAATCATTTTTGCTTTTTTGTTTGTTTMATATAATAAACGACTCATCAAACTAGTCCAATGAGTGTGTGTGTGTGTCCATAGAAAAYATTATTATAATTATTATWAAAAAACTGTATTTGTATTGTATTGTAAATCAATCAATTGACCGTACAGTTTATAYATATATATATAMAGATAGGACAGGTATGTTCATACATTGCTAACTGTGTGTGTGTGTGTGTGTACATACATATATGGGTGCCACCAATTAACTTTAAATATGTATTATACATGCAGTCAACAAACAAAATTTAGCTAGCCTATTATCTAATTATTAAATAATACAATTTATATAAATATATAATTTATATATATATATACTAATCTGACCTTGTTATTTTTGKKTATAAATTAAATCGTGAGTTTATTATTATTATTTAAAATAATTTATAATTTAACACAATCAAAATGAAATGTGTGCAAATTATTATAATTTATTTAATTTTTTTTAGTTGATTAAATTGTTTTTATTAGTTAGTAGTGTATGTATATTATTAGTGATATAAAAAAATAATGTGAGGCCTATTAAACACATTGTATTGATGTTTTTGATAATATTAMTAATAATAATAATAATAATAAAAAAAGGCCTTCAAAATTATATGCTAAAAATAAAATTGTATTTTTTAAAAAAATATTTATTTATTATTTAATAATAATAATAATAATAATAATTTTAGATTCTAGTGAACGATAAACACACACACAAAATAAGTAATAAATTAATTTAATAACAAAAATATAATAATAATATAAGTGTTTATTATGAAATTAACACTAAAATTGTAATCAATAGTAAAAATTTGCTATTAATTTATTGAAACAAAAATTGTATAAATCTTTTTTTTAGCTCAAAACTTATTATTTTATAGTATTTTAATTAATTAATTATTTTTTTAAGATAATTTTGAGAATTTAAGACAACAACAAAAATAAACCTAAAAATTAAATTTTTATAAAAACTGTTATTAAATGATTAAATTGTTTCAGATATCTATAAATTTGTATATTATTATTATTATAATATTAATAAATAAATTTTTTTTCAATATATATATATATTAATACCATTTAATAATAATCACTACAATATTTACTATTAACTTATTAATTAACAGTTTTTTTAAAAAGTGCAAATTAATATCAAATTTAAAACAACATATTTTTTTTATTAATAATTTTTTATTATTATTTATACATTATATAAAACATTAAAAATTTTTAAATGTTTTGTATATATATATATATATAATTAATTTAATATATATATAGTATTATTTTTTGAATTTGTGTGACATTGAAATAGTCTGTTTAATAATTTAGTTTAAATTTTTAAAAATTGTTTTTATAGTAATAATAATAATAATATAATACTAATTCAGTTATATATATGTGAAGTKTATTGTATTTTTTATTTGCGAGTATTTTGTGAAATATTTTTTTGTTTGTTTGTTTTTAAATAACAATTACACCAAATAGTAATAATAATAATTACATTTAAATTTGTATAATAATAATAATAAGTTTCAGCAATAATAATAATAAATATAATTATATAACCAGTTTTACAATAATTTAAATTAAATATATATATATATATATATATATAGATAACAAGTAGTCACTTAATTGTCTTTAATTTTTTTTATTAAAAAAAAWTTTTTTTGATAATAGATTTTTAAAAATGACTAAATCTGTAATTTTATTTTTTTAAAAATAAATAATAATAATTGTATGATTTGATGATAAACAACAACAAAAAAAAACAATGAATATAATACTAGAATAAACCAATAATTAATTAATTAATTTCTAAAACAATAATTTAACATAAATTAATGATTATATATATATATATATATTGTTTATATATATATAAATTTATATAAATAACAACTAACGTAAAACTATATTATTTTATAGATAATAATATAAAACAGTTATTTTGATGTTTTTTTTAAATATGGCAACAATTAATTAATTTAGATGAATATAATTTGTAATATAATAATTAATTAATTAAATAATGTATAGTTATTATAGATTTTCCAAATTGTATACACATATTCATATATATATATATATTTAAATTTTAAATTAAAAAATTATCCATAAATATATATATATATATATATATATAAATATTTATACATATATAAGCACTTAATGGTTTAAAAAAATCTAACTATTTTTTGTTTTGTTTAATAATAATAATAATAATAATAATAAAACTAATAATAATTTATAAGAAATTTATGGTTTTTTTTGTGTGTATTTGTGATTACATGAAAAATTGTGTGTATTTTTTTAAAATAGTAATAATAAATATATGTTATATATATATATATATTAGTGTTTTTTTTTGTAATTAATTATTTTTTAATTAAACGCTCACTTTTTTTGTAGATTATTATTATTATTAAAAAAAATAACTAAAAACAAGCAAAACATTTAATACTGATTTACTATACAATTAGTGGTTGAAAAAAATAATATAATATATTAAATCATTAATAAATCTTTAAAAAATGAGACAATTATTTTTAAAACAAAACAAATATTTTAAAAAAAATACATGCATAGTGTGAGCGGGTGTGTGAGTGACTGAGTGAGTGAGTGAAATATTATTATTTTTTGACTTTTAATTTCGTTAATTAATTAATTAATAATTATATATATATATTAAAAAATTTAATTCCTGTATAATTTTTTGTGTCAATTTCAATAATAATAATAATAATAACAATAATAATCACATATACAAAATGTGTGGATAAAAATTAATTCAATGTTTAATATATATTATATATATATTTACTGTATATATCTAAAAGTTATCTTTGGTTCACAAAAAAAAAAATTATATTTTTTTTGTTAATTTTTTGTTATTTTTAAAAAAAACCTTTCATTTAATGTTTTTAAAAATATTTAATGTTTTGTTGTTGAATGATATACTAATACTATTACTATTATATACTACTACTAAAAGTACTAATAAATACTATTTAATAACTATTAAATATTAGGGATTAACTGTGTAAATACACTGCAATTATTTTTTAACAATTAATTATTGTATTGAATAATAATAATAATAAATTCAAATCAAACATAACATTTAAAAAAAAATCAGTTAAATATTTATAAAAAAAAATCATATTTATATAAAAACCAAAAATTATCTTAAAAAAAAATTATTGTTTAAAAAAAAACAAATTGTCTGTCTATTTGCTAAAAATTATTTTCCATTAGTTTTTAGCAATTAATTAATTAATTAATTAAAAAAAAATTAAAAATATTAACACTAATTATTATTATTATTATTAATAATAATTAAAACAACAATTAATAATAATAATATTACGGTAAATGTATATACTATGACTGATTTCTATCGCAATATACTAATAATAATAATAATAATAATAATGATAATCACTATTACAGTAAAACATTATTTAATATAATATCTAATAAATAATAATCATATGAATCATTTGATTATATTTATATATATATAATTCATTAAATCAATTATATATACTGTATATATATATATATATATAAATGTTAGCCAAATCCTAACCATCACTGGGGGGTTGGGGTGGAGGGGGAGAGAGACTTGAAAACCAAAATTTCTAACATATTTTGTGTTTTTTTTCTTCTAAATTTTCATTTGAGATCTATATTTAACAACAATTATTTAGTTTCCGAAAAAAAATTAATAATAATAATTATTATTATTTATAATTATAATATCATTGAACAATACGAGTGTGTGTGTGGTGTATATATGTGTGTTATATTGTTATGTGTTGTGACTAGAGTTGTGACAATATATAGTTATTTAGCGCCGATTTGTTTGTTATATATCAATATATATTAATATATATATATATATCAATAGACCTTTAAATTGGTTTTTTTTGTTTAATTAAGACATTTAGTAATTAACTATTATTTTTTTTATAATTATAATTATACTGTATGTATGTATATATAAATATCTGCCATTTATGACCAGATTATTCAAAAAACAAAATACTGATATATATAACCACAAAAAAAATAAATAAATAAATAACTTATTTGTTGTTTATATATATATAAAAAAAAATCAATAATTTGTTTGTTTGTTTGATTTTTTTTTCTAAAAGTAAAAAACTTAATAATAATTAATTAATTATAATAAACACTAAATAGATATTAATAACGAGTTTAGTGTAGTGTTTTCATCCAAATAATTAAATATATATATATATATTTCGGTCAATTTTTTTATCGGTTGATTTCAACTGTATTTTGTTGTTTTGTTTTTTTTTTTGGGTTCAAACTATGGGTTCAAACACTTATATATATCGGTAGGTAAACCAACCAACCAACCAATCATCATCGGGTGTGTGTCCATTCAAACACACCAACACCACCGACAACAACAACAACTAACCAAACAAACAAAACATACGGTAAGTGTGTGTGTGTTTGAAGTTAACCAACAAATGTATAGATAGACCAAAAAATTTTGTTGTTGTCGGTGTCGGTGTTTGAAAAAAAAATCCAAATTATATGTGTTTTTTTTGATTGAAAAAAATTTGAAACTTAAAAAAAACCAACCAATAATAATGGGCTAATAATTAATTAATTAATTTTGTTTTTTTTTTAGGCAACAGTTATGTATTGGGACCGTCAACTGAATATAAACCCGGATTAAACTCTCCGTTAGTGAATGTAAAACCTCTGAACTCTTCCTGATTTATAGAGCGAACCACTTCTGCATTTACTGGCGTCAGAATTGGTTCCTCTTTAGTAAAATCCTGATCAAAATTATTGACATCGCGTTTCGTTTTCTGTGGTGATGGTAGTGGTGATGGTGATGATGATGATGGTTAAGACAAACAAACAAACAAACAAAAACAAAATTACCGATTAATTTACCGATAGTTTTAACTAAACAACAAAAAAATACATACGATTTTCGGTCTAAACGGTGGCTTAACTTTTTTGGCCAACAGTGCGTCCCAATCGGTATCCTTGAAAAACGTATGCTTTAGTATGGCTTCTTCGGCTCCCTGCGACTGAACACACCCTAAACGTTTGGCCGGGTTTTTAGTCATAAACTAATTTACGGGTACAACCAAATCAAAACAAAACAAACAAATAAATTACCGATAATTTCCGATATATATTGTGTGTTTAATTAATTAATTAATTATATACCCCTTTGAGTATAGAAACGGCTTCTTTGGTCAACCAGACCGGATAGAGTACGTCGTCGTGCAATATAGACTCGAACAGGTCGTCCTCGTTGTCCGCTTCGAACGGCGGCTGTCCGGCCATCATCTCATACATTAGGACACCCAATGCCCACCTAATTGGGGAAAACATACAGTCGAGTCAGTCATATCATCCATATAACAACAACAACAAAAAAACAACTACTCGTATAGACCCCCGCATATAGCCAACCCCCTCCTCACCCCCATGGCCACCATCAGGGGCCACCATGTGAAAATGTGGGGCAATATCCCCCACTATCAAATGTTGATGTTTTATTATGAATTATCAAATACCCCCTGCCCCACTATTAAAAATTTATTGAAGTTTTTATTTTTGAATGTGTAATTACCCCCCCACCACACCCCTCATAAAAATGCAATCTATTGACCTGGTATATTTTATGCCAATTTCTGATTGGCAATAGACCTACCGGTATATCTTACATATAACCCTATCCCATACCCCCCCAACCCCAATCATTCCCATATCACATATAGCCCCTGTAGGGTGGGGTATATATGAGATACAACCTCTCCCTCCCACATACCAAATATTGATTTCAGTGGTGGGGAGGAGGGGGTGGGGTATATGATACGGGGTAATAATAATAATAAATTAAATTATAAATACCAGTCAACTGATGGGCCGTATTCTAATTCTTGCAATATTTCGGGTGCAATATAATCGGGAGTTCCGCAAAACGTTGTCGTAGTATTGCCGTCCATAATATTTTCCTTACACATACCGAAATCGGCAATCTTACAGTGGCCGTCGCTGTCCAATAATATATTATCTAATTTTAAATCTCTATATATATAGAAGAAAAACACAAACAATAAATTATTAACGGGTTATTATCGGTAAATAATGTTTTATTAAATTTTTATTTTTAAAATTATTATTATTACGCTATTTTCTATAAGGAATTTTTTGAATTTTTTTTAAATATTTTAATGGATAAAAAAACTGTTTTACAAAAAAAAAATAAATTACCGACAAAATAAAATTGAACGGGAAATACAATAATAATAATAATAAACATATAATAATAACAATTAACAGTTAGTTAGTCCTACAGAATCTGGTTTTTATATATATATATATATGTTTTACGGTAATAAAAAATATCTATTGTTTTATTTTATTATTTTTTTTTTTTGAGGACAGTTAGTTAGTTGGCTACTACTACTACAACCTATACTGTGAACCTACCTATAAATAACACCATTCTTATGGAGGAACATCAGGGCTAACGTTACTTCCGATGCATAGAAGCGGGCCCGGGGTTCGTCAAACTTGCGGGCCTTTTGTATTTGAAACATTAGGTCACCGCCGTTGACGTACTCCATCACAAAAAATAGCCGGTCCTTCAAACAACAACAACACAAGTATTAATAACTGGTAATTATTTTTTTTTTGAAAAATATATATCAATTACCGCCGTCTGATAACAGGAATGAAGTGCCGTTAGAAACGGATGCCGAGCACTGAGCGCTAGTATGCGCTTCTCAGTCATTGTACAGTCGACGTCGTCGTCCTGTAAGATGACATCCTTTTTGAGCACTTTTACGGCGTAGACTTCGTCGGTGCCCTTCTTTTCGGCCAACATTACCTGTGGATTGAAAAAAAAAATTATAGTTTATTTTTTCCAATAGGAAAGGAACTGTAGTTTTTTTTCACATACTTTGCCGAAACTTCCTTTTCCCAGTACTTTAATAAAATTAAAGTCCTCGAGACCGTAGCGCCTACGGGGCCGGTCATTGCCGTCAGCACCAGTTCCGCCGCCGCCACCGTGCGGACTACGATCCAACACTGACTGTAGTTGATGATCGCGATCTTTGATCGTCAAACGATCCAATTGGTTGGCCAGTGGCGCCGAATCGCCGGCTGCCGCCGCACCACCACTACTACCGTATTGATGATCTGATTTAAAATTATCGCCACCACCACCAACACCGCCGGCACCAATGTCTCCGCCAACACCACCGCCAGCACCGGTAGGCAACGGTGCTGTATGTGCGCGCTCTGTCAACGATTGGCCAAATCTATTCGGCGATTCGCTGATCGATGTCTTCTTTTTTTTGCCCGCTTTAAACGATAACTTATCCGCCGATATGCCGACAGCCATCATACTGTCGGCCAATTGTTTCGGATTAATACCGCAATTGTTCGCAACGTTAGCCTGACATCGCTTATGTACGTTCATATCACATGCTATTTAACACAGACAGACAAACATTTATTAATACCATAATCGGTAAACAATACCCCCACCGATTGATACTTACATTCACATTGGAGGCCCTGTTTGAATATACCGTACAACATGGAGCCGCAGTGGTCGCAAAATGTTGGCCTCTTATAGTTGTGTACCTGAAATCTATGGGGTACGTTGATACTGAATCGGCTGCCGCCGATCATCGAGTCGTCGGTATTTTCCTTACAACCGGGACATTTGGTTACTACTACTTCGTGACAGCGTTTATGGACGACACACGTGCACACTATTATCGGGTGAGACAGAGATAGAGTGAGTGAGTGAGAGAAAGAGAGAGTAAGAAAGAGAGAGTAAGAAAGAGAGAGAGTGAGTAAGTCAGAGAAAGAGTGAGAGAGAGAGAAAAAAAAGAGTCAGAGAGAGATTGAGTGAGTGATAGAGATAGTGAGTGAGAGAGAGAGAGAGAGAGAGAGAGAGAGTGATAGAGAGTGAGAGAGAGATAGTTAGTGAGTGAATGAGAGAGAGAGTGAGAGAGAGAGAGATATTTAGTGAGTGAATGAGAGAGAGAGAGAGAGAGATAGTTAGTGAGTGAATGGGAGAGAGAGAGAGAGATAGTTAGTGAGTGAATGAGAGAGAGAGAGAGAGAGATAGTTAGTGAGTGAATGAGAGAGAGAGAGAGAGAGAGAGAGAGAGAGAGGACAGTTAGATTTTTTTTTGCTTATAAAATAGACATTAGTAGACCCGATCCAATCCAATCCATACCTTGGCACTGGTAGGCTTGTTTGCCCAGACCCCAGATAAAATCGCGACAATGCGAACAGAATGCTGGCTGCCGTAAAAATGTGGCCATAAATTTGTGTCCATTAACTTGGTGTACACGTCGGCGCATAGCACCGCGTCTGCGGGCCAGACCCTGGCGTTCTTTGAATTCTTTTGGCTCCCGATGATGATGATGATGATGCATGGCCAGCGATGATGAGGAGGAACAGGAGCCGGCCAATGTCGACGAATTAGAATTGCCGCCGCCGCCACTGCCACCACCACCGCCGCAGTCGGCGGCCGCCGATCTGAGTTCGACATTCACGTGCAGTCGACCACCCGGTTCGAGGTCCTCCTATAAAAAAAAAAATGATTGGTTAGACACCAATTAAATCGGGGGATATAATCGGGTAGTTCTAGTGGACTAAATATATACCCAAATATCCGATCCGTAGACAGCAGCAGTCGCTGATCCATCAGCGGCTGCCGCTGCCGCCGCCGCTACCGATTCATCCGTAATCAAATCGTCAAAACAAATTGAACAGTTGGCCACAAAATCGTCGGGCGGTATGGAGGCATCGTGAAATACCGTCAACTGTAAATTTTGTGCCTCTTTAACATCGAAACTAAACAATTCGTTCCACTGAGGCCTGAATGTCCGCTGTTTGGTCGACGATTTATCTATTGGCTGGTCATCGACGGTAATGTGTACGTACGGATCGATTAGCATCTGGCTGCCGCCACTTTTGCCGACAACACTATCAAGTTTATGCCGAACGGAAAACTGTGTCGGCTTCAGTTCGTTGGCCTCGATTATACACAATCGGACGCTTCCCGTAAATGGCATTATTTGTTATTATTGATTATTATCACTATTACCGGCGATATGACTGTTAAACAATAATAATAATAATAATAATCGGTGTCTAGTGTTGGAAGAGATCAATCACTACCACCACTACTACTTGTGTCGCCGATATATAAAGTCGCTGAAGACTATCATCAACAACAACAACAACACTTGTGATGTGTCTGTCTGTGTGTGTGTGTGTGTGTGTGTGTGTGTGTGACGGCTATGGCTATTGATTAATGCAACGGGTGTTTCAACAACAACAACACCACCACCACTACTACTACTACTACCATCGTCTTCATCGTCATCATCAGTGATAGACAATCAATCGGATGATCGCATCGGTTGGTTAAATACCAGACACAGACCAGACAACAAACACTTGTCTTCCGAAATAACCACTTCTTCTTCAATGCATATATGAAGACAACAAACTGCTGGTATGTCTTCTTATTCTTCTTCTTCTACACACTTTTACTTCGGTATAAACGGCTGTACCGTAAGTGGACACCAGTTGGTGGTCGCTTTGCCCGCAGCCGCGGGTAGTCTATTGGGTGATGAGTTTGGTGAGTGTGTGTGATCAGCCACTGCCGCCGTCGCGCTCGGGTGACTCACTGACTGACCAAAACTGACTAAAAAAAACTAATTGTTTTTATCGGTTGAAACCACCAATTGGTTTGTTGTTGTCTTTAGTAGTGTTAGTGTTGTTGTTGTTGTTGACACTCATCGAGTGTTTATGCATTTGACGGCCATTACTACTACTACAGTACACACACTCTCTCTCTATGTTTAAAACATAACAACACTGTATAGTGTATTATAGAGAGAGAGAGAGTACTGTCAAAACCAATGTTGTCTATGAAATGTACAGTAAGTATACATACAATAAAAATACATAACATTATATATACTACAGTCTAATTGGATTTTTATAAACATTATGTGTGTGTGAGTGTGTGTGTGTAGCTATTCATACATATAGTTATAGGATATTGATGTGTGTATGTGTGTGTGTGTGTGTATGTGTATGTATGTGTATGTGTATGTGTGTGTATGTGTGTGTGTGTATGTGTATGTGTATGTGTATGTGTATGTGTATGTGTATGTGTATGTGTATGTGTATGTGTATGTGTATGTGTATGTGTATGTGTATGTGTATGTGTATGTGTATGTGTATGTGTATGTGTATGTGTATGTGTATGTGTGTGTATGTGTGTGTGTATGTGTGTGTATGTGTGTGTATGTGTGTGTATGTGTGTGTATGTGTGTGTGTGTGTGTATGTGTATGTGTATGTGTATGTGTATGTGTATGTGTATGTGTATGTGTATGTGTATGTGTATGTGTATGTGTATGTGTATGTGTATGTGTGTGTATGTGTGTGTATGTGTGTGTATGTGTGTGTATGTGTGTGTATGTGTGTGTATGTGTATGTGTATGTGTATGTGTATGTGTATGTGTATGTGTATGTGTATGTGTATGTGTGTGTATGTGTGTGTATGTGTATGTGTATGTGTATGTGTATGTGTATGTGTATGTGTATGTGTATGTGTATGTGTATTAAAAACTTTATTATATAGATAAAAGGGGGACTAAATTTGTATATAAAACTGTAACAAACTATGTTAACAACTATCATAATATTGATTATTTATTATTTTATTTTTTTTCATACTGTAATACCATTACTATTATTATTATTATTACTATTATATACTGTATATACATAAAAGTTAATACAATTTATTAGAATTTTATGGGTAGACTTAATAATAATAATAATAATAAATAATATTACTATTTGTAACATTAGTTAGTATTGTATTGTTAACTAAATTATATTATTATATTAATTATTTTTTTATTAAAAAAACAGTAAATTTTAATTATTAATAATACATATGAAATTTTTTTTAAAAAAATATTTATATATTTAAAAATAAAAAATTAACTAGTTGCATTTTTTCACCAAAAAAATAAATAAATAAATAAAATTATTTATGATTATTACTAGAGAAAAATTTATCATGTAATATTTTTATTTTATTTATTTATTTTATTTACTATTAAATAATAAATAAATAAATAATAATAATAATGACTATGACTATGACAAACTAAAAATTTTTATTATTATTATTTAATAAAAATTATTTACATGGAGTTATTATATCATATATATATAATAAAATAAATGCAATTAAAATAAAACTATTTATACTAAATAACATTAATCTTTTATTATATATAATTTTATATTAAAACTAAAATTTAAAAACTAAAATTTTAAAAATAATAAAAATGTCACCTACATTGTGAACGACCCCTCCACCCCTCTATATATATTTTATAGGTGACTAATACTGTACTGTATATATAATTGGGTCAATAACACAATATATTAGCGTAAGTCTACTGTATTATCTAAAAAAAAATCTAACATTAAAACTATAGTTAGTTTTCGGTTATACTGTATGTAACAAACACTACAACAAAAAACAGGTTTTTTATTTGTTATTATTAACCGAAAACTTATTATTAAATGTATTGTATGTTATATACAGTACAGTGTATACTATGATATCATAGGGGGCTATGCATTGATTTAAGTGGCAGTCAATGTGTATATGTATTGTAATAATATTATTATTGTGAAAGTAATGGCAACTAAATTATAATACATTTGCAATACATATATATATATTTGTTGTTTAAGTATTTATTTAAATCATAAATAATATAATAATAAGTGTTAAAAACAATTATTATTTATATGGGATTATCACACATACACTATGTATATGTACTGTACTTTTAACTATGCATTTGAATGATTTTTTATAATAATTATTTCAATAAATTTGGTTTCAATTATACTTAAACAACAACAACACTAATAATATGATTATTAAATAATATATATTTAATTTTTTTTAGCATTTAATTTGTGTGTTATTTATATCTATATCTATATATATGATATAAAAATTTTTATTATTTTTTGATTGATTGTGTTATTTAATTAATTAATTAATTATTATTATTATTGTGTGTGTGATATATATAGCCATAAAAATATATATTTGTCGACAAAAATATATTTAAAAAATATATTAAATTTTTTATTTGTTTTGTTTAATTGATTGATTGATATCTCATTAGTGATATTTTTTTTGTTAAATATAAAAAATTTTAAAAATGTAAGTAATTTTTTTCACTCCCCCTCTAAAAAATTATTTCCCCCATTATTTCCCTTTTAGTTATTTTATTATTTTTTTTGACATTTATTTTATTATGTATTTGTATTATAATTTCCTATGTTTTTTCAAAAAATTATTTTATTATTATTTGTTATTTTAATGATTATTACAGTATTTAATATGTAATGTATTGTAATGTTTGCCAACAATTTTTTTTTATTTAAAATTGACATTTTATTTATCATATATAAAAACAATATAACTATTTTAAATTTTTTTTTTTAAATTTATTATTTAATATGCTATTAAATTATTGCTATTATTAATTTTATAATTATCATTTATATCTCTCAATTAATTAAATGATTGAATATGTATTGAATTTATTATTATTATTTTTTTAAAGTTTAAATACCTGTACTAATAGCTTATAAATATTAATTATCTATTTATTATTAATAATATATATTTTTTTTTAAATAATAAATTATAAATGCCAATTAATTAGTTATGCTACGCTTATTAACTAGGTTTATGTGTATTTTTTTTTAAATTTAATTAATTTAAAAAAAATAGATACAAACAAAGTTATCAATTTTTATTTTATTATATTCAATCAATTGATAAATAAAGTTACCTTGATGTATATATATATATATATATATATATATATATATGTTTATATATATGTTTATAAATGTATGGATAGTTAGCTATATATATATAATAGTTTTTATTTGGTTAATAGATATTAGCAGTATTTTTAGTTTATTTTTTTAAATTTAAAAATATATTACTTAAATACATGTATAAATTGTTTGTATTTATTTAATTTATTAATATTTTATAATAATTAATAATAATGATTGCATATATGGTTAACGCCTACAAAATATTTTTGTAATATATTGTAATAAATATATTGTGTAATAATATTTCTATGAAAAAAAAGGTTTTTTAATTTAATTATTTAACCAAAAAAAAAAATAATAATATAATATAGCTTTTTATTTAATTAATTAGACACACATATAATATAAATACTAGTATTTTTTATTTTTTTTATATTACTATTGATTTGAGATAAAAATTCAAAAAACTTTTGTTTTTTAAACAAATGATACAAACAAACAAAAAACAAAACAAAAATTTTTCAATATATAGTATTGAATGTATTTGGCAATCATACAGAAAAAAATAGTTATTTATTTTTTTTTCGCATACCATACCATTGAATAAAAAATAATAATAATAATAATAAAAACAATTATATATTCATTAACTGCTTGGGTATGAGTCATAGGCATACCATTTACACATACATAAGCTGCTGCTAACAAGTATATACAGTATATATATAAATATTTTTTTCGCGGCACCTGTATGTTAGCACCTGTATTATATATATATATATATATATATTTTGTTGTTGATGATGTTAGTGTAAGTGCATTGCACGACCAGTTTTTTTGTTGTTGAAGAGCTCAGGGATGTATAGATAGATAGAGATTCACTACAAGAAACTATACGTATAAATAGGTAGTGACCATAAGTTTATGGGTTTTTATATAAAAAAAAATCATATGATTTTATAAGAAGTTTTATAACTTTTTTTTTGATTATTTGTTATAAGACTCAAATAGTTTAGCACAAGTAGTCTAAGTGTGTGTGTGTGTGTGTGTGTGTGTGTGTGTTTGGTATGCCTTTCCTCACTCACTCACTTACTTTACTAACAAACAGGTGATATTTATTTTTAAATTTAAAGTTAAAGTATTTACTAACTAGTAGTGGGCCATAGCTTATGTATGATAAGGTATATAAGCTCTATAAGTATGTGTGTGTGTGTGTGTAAAGTGTTATGAACTCATATGACTCTGTTATGTCTCTCTCTCTCTCTCTCTCTCTCTCTCTCTCTCTCTCTCTCTCTCTCTCTCTCTCTCTCTCTCTGCTGATGTGATTACCTGTCAAATGTTAAAACACTCATTAATATTATTATTATTACAAACCCATTGCAATCAGGTATGGTATGGTGTATGGGTCGATGGCTTACTAGATAGCTATAGAAGCAATTAGATAGATATATATCATAGATAGATAGTAATAGGTTTGCACAGGTATGTCACTACTATTGGGTTATTATTTTTTAGACAACCCGACAGATAAATAGGTATAGATATTAAATTCAATGTAAATTATAAATATATATATATTGGGTGTAAAATAAGTTATTTAATTTAATTTAATAATTTTTGTTGTTTTTGAATGTTTGACTTTTTTTTAATTTTTTATTTATAAAAATTAAAAAATTCCTTCAATAAGATTGACAACATTTTTTTATACCCAACCAATTGATTAACGATTTTTATAATTTGTAAATAATTTTTATAGATTCAAGTTTTTTTTAATGATTTTTTTCTTAATAGTTTTATTTTTTTTAATGATTTTTTTATGTTTAATGATTAGATATACTAACTATTATATATATAAAAAAAAATTTACTGTATATATAATTAAATGTTTATTTTAAAGTGCTCTCTCTCTCTCTCTCTCTCTCCTATTAACCTCCCGTTTGACATATTTATAGATCTCTGAATAAGTAATAATAATAAAAAAAATTAAATTTATATATAAAAAAATTATTTTACACTTAAATAGATTAGAAATTCATAAATAGATTTTATATAAAAATTTATTTTTTCTTATATTTATAAAAAAAACAGTTTAATTAGGAAGTCTAACCACATATGTATGTATGTATGTATCACTAAATTATTATGTATTTATAATTATAATAATAAAAGTTTAACAACTTTTTTTTATATTATATATTTATTGACCAAATTTTTTTATAATGATATGTATTGAGAGAGAGAGAGAGAGAGAGAAAGAGTAATAAATAAAAATAAATAAATATTTCATTAGATATTCATATCTTTATTATATAATAATTTTTTTTTATTTTTTTGTTGTTTGATCGATATGTAGGGCACAGGAGTGTAGTAACAGTAACAGTGGTATTATAGCTATTGATGGTAGTAGTGGTGGTGACGACATCACATCCACATCATCACCAATAGGACAGCCGTCGACTACAGCTTTTATCATCAGTTTTGACGACGATCTCGAGGAAGATAATAGTCAATCGTCTACTCATAAGAAAATGTTAAACATTAAGGACAGTATACGTAAGTTTGCACCGCCCAGACCCGACTCAATTGAAAAGCCTAGACCCGTGAAAAACAGCCATAAAAGTAGCGGCAGTGGTGGCGGTAGTGTGGGTGACGGCGACACGTCGTCGACATCACCGAAACAGTTAGTGGGAGTTAGTGGTCGCCGACAGTTATCATCGCCCAGCAGTGGTGGTAACAACCAATCAGCGACCAAAAACAACAACAACAACAACAGTACCGTTAGAAAACAATTGCCGACACATTTAGTAGAACCGATAAGTACTGGCCATCTGAGCGATTCGGCTGCCTATCTAATCAATCGTATGCTATCGTATGCACCGAAAGATATTTCGGGCCGTTCAACGAAACTACGGTCAACTAATCATAATAATCATAATAATCATAATACAACTAATTCCGTCCAAAAAGAGGTAGTAATGTCCAAATCGTGGGGTATCGCCACCGGCGATACCGATAGCGGCGTTCCCGATATGGACAACAAATCGGTTCGTAGCGAAACTGGTACCTATACGGTCGGTTTGGATCAGGAGGAGGTGGAGGACGACAACGATGATAATGACCGTAGCATCGAAGTGGAAACGGCTCGCCAACAGATAGACCATGTTTTCGGTATATCCGACGACAATATCACTGTATCCCTGAACTCATCGTTGGCTTCGAGTCTTAATTCGCCGACTGTTTTGAAAAATATTGACGAAAATCTACGAACAAAACAATGTCGAGGAGGTGGAGGTGGAGGAGGAAGTGGTGGTGAACGAGGAGGAGGAGGAGGTGGACGACGACAATCATTTGACGCCATGACTACTACTACTACGACAACTAATAATAATAATAATAATTTAAATTCAAATAACAACAACTCGAAGAAACCGATTGTCATCAACGATGCACTCATTGATTATAATCAGCAACAGCTAAACAACTTAACCATAACGCGAACCAAACGCCGGGTGCCGACCGTCGAGGAAATGCTACACCAAAACAATAATAACAATAATAATAGTAATAATTTTGATATCACTACTAATAGTTCCGCAGCTTTAAGTGATAGTAGAAGAGGTTCATCGACAGCAACAACAGCAACAACAACAACAACATCATCGACGGTGAAGAACAACATTAGTGTTGTGAACAACAATCCTAACAACAAATCATCACTTCTGGCTTCTTATGACTCGAAAAATGATTTATCAAAGATTTCTAATAATACTAATAATACAAATAATTTTAACGATAATTATAGTAATAATTATAATACCGGTAATCAAAAGGTTTTACCGCTTCCGTCGGCATCTAATAATCAGCCGACCAGCCATTCGGCGCCGTCCACACCCCGATCGCCATTCCTTCAGCGCAAACTGATTGCACTGAAAAGTGCTAAACAAGGGAAACAACACCGACAACAGCTAAAGACTACTACTACCGCCGATCACAGGAAAAATTCGTGGACCAAGTCGTACGCAGAGGACGTCGACGACTGCCAGTCGTACAACTCGGACGACGACAGCACCGATCTGAGTCACCGAAGCTATACGTCCTGCAAGAATGATGTCGCCAGAGATGATGATGACGGTTGTGGCGATAACACCGCTACCACCACATCCAGCGATATTGGCGGCTATTCTCAGCGATTCAATCGGGCATTTGCTTTACGCCGGGCCCGACTCGGTATCGATACGCCCGCCTCTGCCGCCGCCCCCGGCGTACCTGTCAATCGAAGCGCCTCATCGGCATCAGCAACAGCAGCAGCTCATAGCCGACAATCATCGACACCACATAAGCCTACGGCCACTGCCGCCCCTAACGGAGGATCGTTCAGTCGTTCAGATGGCGGCCGATTCAGTCTGCGAGTGGCTAAAAATAATTTCAACGACAGACTCCGAAAGACTCAAAATCATCAGCAATTGAACCGAATCTCATCGAAAGAGAATGTTAGTCATCATCATCAGCAACGGCCGTCCGTCCAGAGGAAAGGTAGCGATAGTGCCTCCAGTGTTAAGTCGTCGTCTGTGATAAGTCCGCGATTGTCGTCGTCAAACAGTCGGCAGTCGTACGCCTATTCGGATACCGACCGAAATACAATCAATAATAATAATCACTATAACAATAGCCATCGCGGGAATAGCCAATGGAGTACAAGTCTGCGACAGGACATTCATCGTAGTACTAGTAGTCATCATCAGCAACAACAACAACGCAATGGTGGTGATAGTCATCATCAGCAACAGCAGCAGCTAATAAACAATTCGTCCAATAAATTATCACCAATTCTACCGCAAAGAGGAGGAGTAGGAGAATCGGTACGACGAGACTCGTTACCGGGTTGTCTACCGCCGGTAACCGATAGGAGAGGAGTAGCACCTGTAGCTAAATACCAGCCACACCAACAATACCTGAATGGTTCCCATTCGGAAACACCTAATCATTATCATCATTATCAACAACAGTCCAATCCTATCACCACAACCACAACAATACACAGCAAACCACCGATCAGTAGTCAACTCCGGACAAAACCGGTACTCGAGTTGACCGCATTGGACGGACTGGTCATATCGGCTATCAATCAGCTGTCGTACAAATTGCGTACAAATATGTTGGCAATGTTGGACAGTCAACGCAGTCGACTGGAGGACAATTGCGAGGCACGAGTAGTAATCGACGAGATAATGCCTCAGCTATTGATGACCACATCGCCGGAACGGTCACCCTATGATCGGGAGCTGAGTGTTAGCCGCGATTTGTCGACTGTTTTGAAAAATTTGAAAAAACTCGAGCAAAGCTACGATGGTATGCATTGTTGTTGTGATTATAATCAATGAAACAAATAATTTACCGAAAATTTTAATTAATTTTTTTTTTATTTTTCTAGTTTTAAAACTCATGTTAGATAATAATAGCTCATCCAATATAACCACTACATCTACTACTACGACAACTAAACAACAACAACAAAAACAACCTCCCAGTCGACGACCGGTTAATCCAAACCAATTTTTTGTGGTCGATGTCTGAAACCCACACAACATACCGTTCCTTACAACAACAAAAAATAACTCCCAGTGCCTGTCGTTCATATATTTATCGGTACTATAAAAAAGGCACTCAAAACTTGATAATAATCCAACAATTTTTTGTTTGTTTCAAACATTATCTCTCTCTCTCTCTCTCTCTCTATCTCTAAATGTTTTTAATTTTATTTTATTTATATTAATATACTGTATATATATATATATATCTATGAATATATATTTTTTAACTGCTAACTAATCAATTTGATTGATTGATTGAGAGAGAGAGAGAGAGAGGTTATGTTTGTTTTAACTTTATTTTAAATTTTATTTTTATATATATATACATTGTATACTGAAAATTGCATTTTGCGCGCTAACCCCTCCCTCCCTCCCCACCCCACACACACATAYACACTGTTATGTAATGTATTTTCAAAACTAATGGCTCTCTCAATATATATATATATATTTTTATGTGCATAATATACTACAGTATATATGTTTAGTTAGGTTTAGTTGATTGACTACTTATCTGACAAACCATTACAAA